TAAACACATTGAGATTGATTTCCACTTTGTGAGAGAACGAGTAGCTGCTTGTGAACTGGAAGTCAGGTTTATTTCTACAGATGATCAGTTAGCGGGTGTATTTACTAAACCCGCTACTAGACAGATGCTAGACCGTTTTAGAACCAATCTGAATCTTGTATGTAGTTCAGATTGAGGGGGCATGTAAAGTAGGGTCTAATATATCGTCCTTGTACACGTATTTGTATACGTATATAATTGTAATTATGATCGTCTATATATTGAGACGTGAGGCTGGATGTTAACCAACCATGCAAAACCCTAAACCTGTATTTTAACTTAGGCAACACGACACTCCCTATGCGGTACAGGCAAGGCTACTCCTCGGAGACGGCACCCTTCTTGCAGAGCTCCTGGTCGTTGGTGACTTCCCTCTGTGTGTGTGTGTGTGTGTGTGTGTGTGTGTGTGTGTGTGTGTGTGTGTGTGTGTGTGTGTGAAATGGGGAGTGAGGGGGTCTGAGGTGGGGGCGGATGGATCCGACGAGGGCGTTCTCGCGGAGCTCCGGCAACGTGTCGCCGGCGTCGCTGGTGAGGAGCGGGAGTGGATGGGGGAGGGCCGGTGCCGGATGATGCGCAGGGTGCTCCGTGGCGTCATCACCTTCATATTCGCGCCATAGGTTCGTGCAACTCTGCTCGTCTGTGCTTCCTTATCTGTGGGCTTTATTTTTGTAGTAATCTCACATTAAATTTTTCCAAGTGGTGTGCACGACTCGGCATATCCGAATGAACATATATTCTGATGCTTCACAGCCTGCATTAATTTGGCTGAAATCTTAAGGTCTAATTGAGCATAACACAACCATTCTAATTACTGGCAATGCAGCTTAGCATGATCTACAGCCTCCTCACCGGCAGGCTTGTGCGCGAGAGGGTCGATCCGGCGGTTGCAGTGGATCATCGTGCGGTGCCATACTGTCACTGCATTCTGTCATGTAAATATTCAGAGTTCTTGCACATTATGTTGTATCTGCATCTCGCTGGTCGTTAAGAGTGAGGTAAATGTTTTTTGTGAAGTCCTTGCATGATGTTTTTCTGTCAACTACTCATTTGATGATGCTGTTTCTGGTGGTTTGTAGGTTTTCCATATTGGTGAGAAGCTGTGGAGCTTGCCCAATTTCTGGCACGTGTTCCACGCGCCCTGCATCGTCGGCTGGCTGATCAAGCATGGATCGTGCCCCCTGTGCAGGAGGAAGCTCTAGATCATCATCATCCAGCGACGGATCGCCGACGATTGATGAAGAGCTTCTCTGTTACTAGAAAGGAGGCTATGGTTGCTGCTTTGCATGCTCTGTTGCTGTTGCTAGGAGGCTGACATATCTGTAGAAGCGGAGTCCTCAGATAACGGGTAAACAGACTCAATGAAACGACGGTCAGTACAGAGATTATCAGATGACGCCTAAGAAATCGAGAAGCCTCACATGTCGATATTCCTAGTGATGAGGGTCAATCAACAACTTCATATGTGATGGTCAATACATAACGGTTCATGTGTGTACAAGTCAAATAGGAGTAGTAGTACTCCCTCCGATTCATATTAATTGTACTAAATCGGCGAGAATTAATATGGAATGAAGGGGGTATGATTATACGGGGTAAACAGAACATGGACTGTGAATAATAGTGCTGTTGTACAAGTCCATAAATAAAACAGGGAAACCGCCACAGAATTTCAACAAAAATCGACGGTGCCCAAGGCAACGAGGAGGTTGCTAATCATGGATTGCAAAGAGCGATTGCTTGCCTCCTAACGGGGACGACAATCAAAGGCAAAAACAAGAAGGGGGGTGATTGTCCTCAGACCAGCATCCGAAAGGAGAAGTGTGTCAGGTGCAAAGACAAGAAGACGTCCTCTCGATTTGGTGTTCTCAAAGAGGTTGTGTTGTTCAATTGTTGGGAGAGTTTGTTTATATTTATGAACGGAGGAGCAGTTATTTGTATCTAAAAATTAAAAGTCAACACTTCGCCCTAAAAGATAAAAGTGAACACTTCAAAAAATCATGTGACAATAGTAGCACAAGAGTATGTCGCAAATCTGAGCTCCATTAAATTTGTTATAATTTTCACAAAGGAAACCCTATTTACAAAGTGATGATTTATTGGTGATAATGTAATGAGGACATATTCAAAGTGGACCTTCAAATCGCCCACGAATCGTCCAGATCGCACTGACGGGACTCACTTTGCCGTCCAATGTCGTCTTGTATCGGTCTGCGGATCAGTTCACGCGTCTGTTTCCCCGCAAACATGTATGGGCTCTACGTTGAGTCATCCGACGAGGAGGTTATGCATACACGGAGCGTGTGGAAGAGTATGTTCTGAATTTCAAGGGATAGATCAAGGGTCATCTTAAAAAAAAGGATGTCATTGGAAGAATTGGATACTCTAGTTACCAAAAGTGCATGGCTGCATTGCGGATGCTTTCATATGGCACGGCTGCAGATTTATGGTGCGAGTACCTCCGAATGTCTGAGAACACATGCAGAGATGTCATGGTCAGATTTGCTGATGTGGTGGTCGAGGTGTTTGGACCCCGGTACTTGAGAGAACCAATTAGCGCAGACACCGAAAGGCTAATGGCACTCTCGAAAGCAAGAGAATGGACAAGGATGCTCGGATCTCTAGAGCTTGATACTACCCTGCTAGCCAGCTGGAGGGGTATTGTGTTCTCTAGAACGGCATCACCTAACTGGCAAGTTGTGTAACACATCATGTTGGCTTATTGAAAAAGGAACTTATATGGCATGTGGGAACATCGTTCCATCAGAATTTGGTGTGGCAATAAGATTCCTCGTCGAGATGGTCGACTGATATCTTTACAGGGCCGGTGTCTTTTGCGGCGCATCTCGGAACTTCTTGATGAACATGGAGTATGGCGCACAGGCTTGCTTTCCATGAGCTTCCTCCCGACTGAAGTGCATGAGATCCTCAAGATTCATCATTACCTCGCCTTGGTGATGATTCCTGGCTTGTGCTCCCGAGCGAAACATCGTCTTTTACAGCGTGTAGTGCGTATAGGCTAGCACTTGAGGAGCGTCATCGACCATCTTCAGTTGTGGCGAGCAGGGCATGGGATGGGCGGTCAGAGTGGACACTTGGTCTCCTCCCTAAACATGGGGACACGGTTTTCGTGAATTTTGATGGATGAATTAAATGCAGTTGCCCCTCTTTGTACGTATTATATCGACGTTATTGCATGTTGTTATCTGAAGTGTGGCATGTGCGAAGAGTACAAGAGCTTGCCAAGTTGAGAGCGTTTGAGCCCATGCGCTAAAGACAAATCAGTGCTAAGAAATTACAGGTCGGAATTAGGCATTTGAATGAGACAACAAGGGAAACAACAAGTCGTCTGTCCATCGCCCAAGAGGACAACGTGTATGTGTGTGCTTTCAGGTAGGGACGGAGGTGGATATGTAGTAACCATGAGACTGTCTTAAATCAATCGTAATCTATACTAGCTAGTTGACAATGACAAGATTAACACGTTCACTTCACATGTCTGAGGAAAGAGACAAGTGCCTTGTCATGGGCCATGGAGACGAAAGCATATGGTTTGAGGTTGAGAAAATAAAAGGTGAAGTAATGCTTACGGTTTGGAGTTCACCAATCACCACAAAACCGTCTATAGTTGGCAATGTAGACAAACACATGGATTGGAGAAACCCCAGCAAGCAAAGCAAGTCGTTTGTTGCCTCTATCATCATCTATCAATGAGACAAGAAAAGTACTCCCTTCGTTCTAAAATTTTTGTCTTAGATTTGTCTAAATACGGATGTATTAAGTCATGTTTTAGTATTAGATACATTCGTATCTAGACAAATACAATAATTTTGGGACGGAGGAAGTATGATTATTGCATTTTGTTGGAAATCTGTGACACTTTTGATGTTGCTGTTATGTTAGGCGATCTGTGCATTGTTGTTGATTGTGGGATTACCCGACGATTCTTTATTACATATTTATCAAGTTGAGTCTGAATTTTGAAGTTAGATTGAACTCTCTAGTCAAGGTCTCGAGTCTCTACAATTGGATGTTCCATTGGAGATCCCTACAGGATGCCACCGAGGGGCCTAATAAACCATAGGAGCCTGCGAGCCCCAGTAAAGCTAGATTACTTTTTTTTTGCGCGATGTAAAGCTAGATTACTTCGTATATATCTGCTTCTGTGCCTATTGAACAACTGTTAGAAAATGTCAAAAACTATTTTTCTCTGTGTCAAACACGAGTGCGTTGCACACCTTTTATCAACATATGTAAACTTATAGAGCTCGAGGAAGCTCACAGGAAAGTTTATCATTTACATAATCAAATTGATACAGTATATAAAAGCACATTTCATGATCAAGTGACGCTGATTTGGTTCTGTAAAATGATCATGTTTCTGCCATAAATCTGGTCGAACATAGAAACATGAGCAGAAACATTTGGCTTAACGCAAAATTTGCAATTCCTAGTGCGTAGCAGTGGCGATTCCACTAGGGGGGCTTCAATAGGCTGAAGCCTACCCTCCAAAAATCATATTTCAGCTAAACATGCAACTTAAGAATTATACTGAGGTGTTTAACATGTAAACTGCAATGAATTTGCTCAGTAGACTTAGAAACTTGATGTTTTAAGCCTACCCTTCAATTTTGTGCAAGATTGGCCACTGGTGCGTAGTATACACCCTCAAACGGATTATGAAATGGAGGGAGTAGTTTATCTTGTCAAATGGAGTATTTGACAAAGTCAACTTAGACCGGCTGCCTATCTGGCCAGGCAAACCATGTGCTGTGCTGTGTTGCGCTGTCCCCGCCTGGTCAGGGCGACACGTACCGGTCGCCGGCGGCTCCGTCTTCCTTGACCCCTCTCCCTCTCCCCCTCTCCTGTCGCTTCATCCTTCACGCCACCGCTCTCCTCCCCCTTCTATATCAATCGCCGCCCCCCCGGCGGCAGACACAGCGGAGCGCATCTCGACGGCGGCCATGGCGACGAACGAGAGAACCGTCGCGTCCGTCGACCCCGACGTCGCGCTCGCCTACAGGTTCCCCGAGGTAAACCAACTAACTGACCCGCCCGCGCGCGGCCCCTCCCCCCTTCCGCTTCCTCCGCCTCACTCTACTCTACTCTGCTGATACGCGCAGGTCTCCTTCGCCTACGACGAGAGGTGCGTGCGGACCTCAGCTCCACGGAGCGGCTCTGCCGGTCGGTTGATCCCGTACGTGCTCACGCCGTCTCCGTGCTCCCTGCAGGGACGTGGCGCTCTACGCGCTCGGCGTGGGGGCCTGCGGCGCGGACGCCGTCGACGACAAGGAGCTCCACCTCGTGCACCACAGGGACAGCCAGCGCCACATCAAGGTCCCCCGCCCCGCCCCTTCCCTCCCTCCCCCGATCCGATCCCCTCTCGTTTCTGCGCGAATTGGTTGCCCAAATCGTACCGATTTGGCTGCTGGAATTGATTTTTTGGGGACACATTGTTTTGTAAGTAGAACTGTACTGATATAGTAGCTCCTAGTTAAGCAGGGAGGCAATTACGCAAACAATCTTCCCACCTGCGCGTGCAGGGACGAGTGCATCGAAATGATGCAGAGGCCGGGGATAATCCTCCTTTCCTATATTATTTTTTACTGAATTCCGGTTGATTTGAACTGTTAGTAGTGAGGACAGTTTCCTGCTTGTGAGCTTAGGCTTGAGATTACTCCACGGCTGACTAGTACCGATAACTCGACAGCTCATTCCAGGTCTTATGTTGACTTAGATGTCATTAAGCTACCCCTAGTAAGTAAATTAGATGGACCAGGAGCTTCAGTGTTCACCAGCTGATGTCATTGCTGACCTTAGTTTTAGTTTGATCCCAGGACTAGCAATCCAGTAAAAATCCCTTCATTTCAAACTAATTGAAGTTCAGTTCAAAAATAATAATAATTGGAGTTATAACGTTATGCTAAGTCAAACTTCTTCAAGTTTGACCAAGTATATACAAAATATATCAACATCTACAACACCAATTTAGTTTCATCATAAATATATTTTTGTATAGTATACATTTGATGTTATAGATATTCCTATATTAGCATATATTTCTTCAGGCTTGGTCAAATATAGAGAAATTTGACTTTGCGCAAAGCTAGAACTTCAGTTAATTTGGAATGGAGGGAGTAACCGCTAGACATCATTCAGTTTTTTGGCCAATAAACAACATTTGGTGCCTTTGAATGACTTGAGAATGAAATTCAGCTAACTGTGTAGCTTAGAAATCCAAAGCAACTGTACTCAGGAATTATGTTTCATCCAGTGAGTTCATCTGGTTCTCGTCTATTGTGTAGTTGTGTTGGCATCTGTTTCACATGTCATCCATAAATTGTGCATGAAACAGTTGTAATGTTTCACATGTCATCCATAAACTGTGCATGATAAGTTTGAATAATTGAGTCGTAATCACCATGATGAAAGCAATACCCTTGCGGACTCTGACACTCATAATTTTGTTCTTCAATTAAATTGCAGGTGCTTCCTACCTTTGTTTCTTTATTTCCTAACAAGAACAGCAATGGGCGTGGAATTGTTAATGTGCCTGGCATTCAGTAAGACTGACATGTCACTTTTAAGATTTACTTTCTTTCTATTCTGTATATTCGCAAACTTCCCCTACTTTGCACATTTCTTCTTGGTCCTTGTTTTTCAGTTGTCTAGGTTTTGTGAGTTAGAATTTTAAGCAGCTCAAATATGTTAACATACATATTATTTTACAAGCACTTTATCTTGTTTTCTGTTTTCCAGCTTCGATGAAAGCCTTCTATTGCACGGTCAACAATACATAGAGATCTACAAGCCAATTCCTTCATGTGCCAGTGTAAGTAGCTTTCCAACGTTCTCAAATGTTTTATTGTAACATCCTTGTGCTTGGAAACTATGCATGAGGTAGGTGCAGAGTGATTGACCCAACATTTATCCACTTCTTCCTGTCTAGAAGTGGCTTGAACAATTCCCACTAACTCCATTGCCAAGTTGTTTTTTCTATGTGGATACATATAAACATGCTAAAAGAACTCCACTGATAATCAACTCTTCTAGTTGACTTGCATGTGTGTGCATGTTAGTTCTGACTTGAGGATATTATAGCTTACTGTTGAGGCTGTTCTCTGAATTAAAAGAGAGAACATATTCCCTTTCCTTGTTAAATGTTAATTAATCCAGCATTATTGGAAAAACTAGCTGTATGCTGGTACTATGTACTGAAGATTGCTTTAAGTTATTGGTTTTAAGATGGAATATTCTTCAGAGCCCTCATCTCTGGCGCGCACTCATGGAAACAATTGCCTGTTGTTCTTTCTCTTCAGGTTGTAAACAAGGTTAAGGTAGCTGGTTTGCACGACAAAGGTACAATAAATGCTTGATCATTCCATGGTGCATACATACTCGATAATTTGTGCTCATTGCCTTTTCTATTCTGAAAATTACTGCATGTTTTCCTGTTTTTATTAGTTTTATCATTGCTTTGATCCATTCAATTGCTATATCTGAATGATCTTACAGTTGGTGGAACTAGGACAAATTTCGTAAATAGCATTCTCCAACATTTTGTTTCAATTGCAGACCAACAGTAGTCTTTACTACAGTATCTTGAAAAAAAAAAGCACTGCAGCTTTCCTTAAGTACGACGAGTGTAACAACTACACAACATATTCTGAGAAATAGTGAAGCATAATGTGCTGAGTCCTTCCTGTGGAGCTCCTCACATATAACTTTTCATACTCTATTGAACCATCAACTCCGTTGTCGTAAATTCCACTATTGTAGGAATAAGTGCTCTGTTGAATAACAATCTCTTGGTCCATTTCATCCTATGCTAGTATCAAGATTGTTGAAGTGTATATGTGGTTGCGTTGGCTAGTGCATGAAGCTTAACATGGTATCAGAGTCTCCCCCCGGCCCCCTCTATGTCCACGTATAGGCCTATTGAGCCGTACCTCTGAGTCTATTCACGTGTTGACTTCCCGCGTCATACGTGAGAGGGGGTGTTGAAGTGTATATGTGGATTACCGAGCCCTTTCCATAAGTTCAGACTTTTGGTTGCGTTGGCTAGTGCATGATGCTTAACAAAGATCACCTTTTCGTTTTGTCCCTCAGTTGTCAGTGTCCATCCACTCCTGCAGGAGTGTTTAGTCATAGTGCCATCCAATAGCTATGAAGTTTTGAGTGACCATCATTCACATCCTTCAATTCTTTTGACCACCTATTTGGAGCAATACAAAAACAAACCTAAGGAATTATACTGAAATTTGAGAATCATTTTATTGAGTCACTGTTTTAATGTGCAGGGAAAGCAACAATTCTTGAGATTGAAACTACGACCAGTCTCAAGGATTCTGGCGAAGTGTTATGTATGAACAGGTCTGTGATATGGCTATAACCTTCGAGTCTTCCAGTTTTCTTTCTGTAAAATTGCAAAGAAGCGATCTTGTTAATGCAGGAGCACTATTTTCTTGCGTGGTGCGGGAGGTTTTTCGGACTCTTCCAGGCCATACTCGTATACAACTTATCCTGCCAACCAGATTTCTCGCATTTCTATTCCAAATTCTGCACCTTCCGCAGTGCATGAAGACCAGACACAACAATCCCAGGCATGCTACTCATTCTGCTTGTTATTTTATTTGTTTGTGCAGTTACTCGTCATTCTTGGTAATAACGTGCACCTTATATCTCGGAGAAACTATGATAACCATATAAGTTGTAACTATGACATGTGTTGTTTTATGAATTATATGCTCAACCGCTCATCTTACAGTAATAATCCTAAGTAGACCATTTTGTCTTGATGCTTGTCCAATCGGTACTGAGTCATGCTGAATTTTGTTCTGCAGAAGAAATCAGTTTCTCATTTTATTAACATGCAATTGTTCTGTCATCCTGATTCCTTCTCATTTGCAACCCAGGCACTCTTATACAGGTTATCTGGGGATTATAATCCTTTGCATTCAGACCCTATGGTTGCACAGATTGCAGGGTATGTCACTTCAACTTGATCATTCTTATGTTGTTATTTTCGAATCCTGACATTGAAGAAAATATACTTGGGCCAGATCTTGCATTAGAGTTTCTAAGTTCCTAGCAAAATATGCGGTAGGGGTAGTAACTAGCCATAGATGAAGGATGTACAGAGTAATGTTCACTCGAAAGTCCAAACAATGCTTTTATACATCCTGAAGAATAGGCGAACAATGTTCCTGCGCGAATGAAAACTAACGGTAGCTACCAGAATGACCGCGTACATTTCATTTTGAGATGATTACGATTGGAGTCCCTATCTCAGTGAAATCTCCAGGGCTTTCATGCTCACATGATCCAACAAAAGCTTCTCAATATGATGTAGCTATCGCAAGATCTTGTTTTATCAGGGCCCAGCTTCCCGTGCTTGAAAAAGCTCAGGTTACCTTCCGAAGACTTTTATCTGATGATAACCTCTGCAGATTCACTCGTCCAATACTGCACGGCCTCTGCACTCTGGGGTTCGCGGCCAGGGCAGTCATCAAGTCTTTCTGCAACGGGGACCCAGCAGCGGTGCGGAACATCTTCGGCCGGTTCCTGCTGCACGTCTACCCCGGCGAGACGCTGGTCACCGAGATGTGGGTCGACGGCCAGAGGTAAGTGTTGCTCTCTAGCGCCACCAGTTGGTTACTGAAATGCGCTGATGTTGACAACAAGCAAACCCATGGGATTGGAATGATTGGCTTGTGCAGGGTGCAGTACCAGACCAAGGCGAAAGAGCGTGACCGCGCCGTGCTTTCCGGATACGTGCTGCTCAAACACATCCCCTCATCATTGTAAGTGCTGTGAGGATCATACTCCCTCTGTAAACTAATATAAGAGCGTTTAGATCACTATTTTAGTATTCTAAACGCTCTTATATTAGTTTACGGAGGGAGTACTTTTTAATCGGCGATTTGATTAGTTAACTGTGGTGGTCTGAAGAGAGGATGGTTTCCGGTGTAAACTATATATACTCCTAAGAGATGACACGGTTGTGCAGATGATGAACTCGTATTAGTACTTGCTTTTTGTTTTGTTCGTGAAACTAATGCGAAGTTGGAACGTAAAACGGAAAAAAGAGACCGAGCATTTCCTTTTTCTTTTTTGCAAAATTCATGGATTCTGGCTAGTGCGCAAACTATATCCACGAGGAAGGTAAAATATACCAAATCTCCGTTTGTTCCTCCCTCTGAAACTTGCGACGTCGAGACGCGCAGAATAGAACGGGTCGCGCTCGTAGAGTACTCCCTCCGTAAAGAAATACTATAAGATAGTCTTCCTAAAGAAATATAAGATCGTTTACAGAGGGAGCGATACGTAGCTGCGACTGCCTGCTCTTAATAATTAGTTTCACGACTGAAGACCAAGAACCAATCGTGTTGTACCGGAATGTCGACGGCTCAGTTCACGGTATTCAGCGAGGGAATATCCGGCGGTGGAATGGAACGGAAGGGAAGGGGGAAAAAGCCGGAGCAAAAGCAAAAGGGGAAGCCAGCGGGAGAGAATCCGATGGACCTGAACCCCGATCGAAGCGTAGAACACCGTGGGCGGGCACGGTCTCCTACGTGCGTGCGAGGATCGCGATGCTTTTCAAGCTTTTCTCTCGAGTTGGCGCAAGGCAACTCGAGATCGGATCCTACGGCGCCTTCGCGGTCGTGACGACCGATGAACAGGCACATGCATATGGCCCAGCGGCTCCACGCTCGCTCTTACCTCCGCAAACGGAATAATAAACTCTTCCTGGTACTCCCTCTAAGAGCGTTTAGATCACTAGTGGTACTTATCAAAGGTGCCGTAATACATATACTCCATGATTGGATACCAATAGAACGCCCACTTATGAGGTGCGTAACAAATTGGTCAAAATGCGAGCAGACACCAGCGTTTACCCGGCACCGGCACATGTCAAATATGCATCGATCGATCGTCAAATTCAGTCCACCCACGAGAGTATAGTAGCGCAGCCTTCGTCGTAGGGAGTTAGGTCTCATTTGGAAAAATATTTGCTTCAAGCCGTTCCAAGCATGCTCATGGTCTTTTTTTTTTTTTTTGCTTTGCTTTGTACGCTTCTAGAAAAAACTTAAAAAGAATTGATAGATACATGCATGCGCAAAATACGATACTACAGTTATGTAGCACATGATTAAGTTCACACACACACACACAAAAAGGCTACTAAAAGTCAAACCGCATGCATTTATGTTCACTACAATGGTACTATGGCACTAGACACCTGGCATAGTCCATACTTCCTTTTTATGGGAATTGTCCGTAAATAAAATAGGTCCAAATAAATTGTGAAATTGGTGTTTCTTTCTCTGAAACTGAGATCAACCTCTACTTTTCTCCGTTCTTTTGAGACAAAAGCTGAATATTGCAATCAGATCAAAAGAAAACTAGTTTATCCCTGATTTTCCTCCGCTTTTCCTAGGAATCAAAATTATGCGGCTCCATTAGCCAACTCTAGCTGCACAGTGTACTGCCTAGCTAGCCGACCCCAAGCTCGGGGTCCTTGTCCTGCTAATCATTCATGCTTTCTTGGATCCCATCCACATCGATGCACCTGCCTACCTACCACATTCTTTTTTGGCGCATCACAATAGCTTTTCCTCGTTTTCATTTGCAATGCAAATATAATCAAAAGGTAAACTGGAAAAAGGCCTCATCATCCACACCAATCCCCATCCCTCTCAAAAGAAGAGCAAGCTAACTTAACTAGCTAGTACTACTGCCGCCCTTTGTGTTGCCGAACAGTGACAGAGCACTAGCTATGGCTAGCGGGCTGCCGGTCTTATTAGCTTCCATGTTTACACATCTTTTGCTTTATTTTTTAGACGTTTATTTTGCTTTTATCAAGGTACTAGAGTACAAGCAGGTCAGGTGTGAACTGTGAATGCGTGTGTACATGTCTAACACCTGCATGCATGTCGCCGCCAGAAACAACACCTAGCAGCTGCAGCCCACCACGCCACACACCAGCAACATCAGATGTGATCCCTCCAGATGTTGCACTTTGCATGACAGTAGAATTTTTTATTATTAATCCGGCGGCATCATATGAATGCATAATGTTATACAGAGATATTTCATTCACCATTTGACCGTGTAAAAGAGGAGGGCCCGTTTGCTAATCCCTTGTGGGCATGGCAGGTCTTCACATGCAGATAATGGAGGAGGCCGGCTGTAGGAGTAGGAGCCGCCGCACCGAGGAGGAGGAGGAGGAAGAAGAAGTCTCGGGGCAATTAACTCGGCCGGAGAAGATGCACCGCGAGAGACAAAAGTGACGGCGCCGGAGCAGGCCGACCGGCACGTTTTGTGTATCACATATCACACTTTGTGTGACCCATTTAAGTCTAAATAAAGTATAATTTGCATGCATGTGCGTCTGCTCATGCATCCGAGCAGCAAATTCGGCGCGTCCACAACACTGGTCACAGTGATCAGAGTGTGGTTG